GTAATTGGCTTTTTTTCTATTTTTGTCCGTTTCCTTTGCTTCTTCGGTTGCATATCTTCTTGGAAACCCTGAACGTTGCCCATCCTGAAAGAGCATGGCTGCTGGAGGCATACCCGTTGCTGGATCAGGTATTTGCCGGTAATTGTTCATTGCTCTTTTCAAGGTTTCGTTGTTGGCCACGCCCTTCTGATGCACAATCTTCATGGCCTCACCCAAAAGCCGCATAAGATACAGGGTTTGAAGAGGGGTTTAGTGGAGGTGTGTACCGCAGTTCAATTGATCTATTTGTTGCAAACTTCTGTATTCGAGCGCTATTAAATGGTAGGCCATCATCCGATATCTGTACCTCTTCATTTCCTCCATTAACTTCATGAATTTCACTGAGTACTGGAATGAGTCTGTCTGCTTTCGTTGATGTGACCAGTTTGGCTGCGGGAAATCGCGACGCTAGATCTTGCACGACTACAACGTGCTTTGACGATGGCAAATGTCCAAACAAGTCGAATGTCAAGTTTAAATAAAGCGTATGTATGTATGCTACCGTGTCCTAACATTTTTGTGGGATTTTGTGTGGCTTGGTTGGTTCTTTAGTCTTCTTATCTACAAACATAGCACAGCCGTCGCATGACTCAACCAACTCCTTCACTTTCCTATTCATATCAAGGAAAAAGAAGTGGTGTCTAAGCCTTTTTTCTAGTTCGCTTTGGCCGGGATGCGATCCTCTGTGGGCAATTTTAATTGCCATCTCTGAAGCTTTTCCGGTAAAACGATTCTTTCATCTTTCAATATTATACCATTTCCGGTGACCGTAAGCTGTGGCAGGATCTCCTTAAAACGCTGCACCTCGCTTGCCTCCGACTTGGGAATCCTTGACTTATGAGCTTTCCGATCTTTACAAGAGTTGGATCTTGCACAATTCTACACTGTGGAATTCTTGCATAGCCGATGCAGTCGAGTACCAAAGTGTTGTGGAGCATGTATAATAGATTATTTAAGTCGTCCTCTTGCTATGACTGTGAAAGCTTTTGTACCGATTTTGCATGTCGTGATAAATAATCCGACTGGCTAATTTTCCCTCGCTGGTAAACAACGATAAACCAAATGTCTTGATGTCTCAGCTTGACTTTTTCGGTTCGAATTGAACCTGGTCCTTGCCGTTTACCGTTAAAAATTGAACATAAAAGTTGATGGTTTGTTATCACTTGTATTTTGGTTAGAACACCAACGACGTAGTTGCGGAATCTTCTCAAGACGAAGTCGATGCCAAGGGCTTCCAGATCAATCTGAGGATACGGATACTCGTTCGTCGCTCTTGATGCTATTGCCACTAGTCTTCCGTTCTCCACGCTATTCCCTTGTGCCAACATCGCTCCAAGACCTGTCTTGTGGGCATCAGTGAATATAAATGCTTGTTAACCCATATCATTATTTAGCGTAGCTGCTTGCTTTGCGAAATTGGGATGAACTCTGCATTTGACTGCATCATACATATATAGGAAACTTACTATAGGTCTTCCTTCGAACTGGGCGCTGATATATAGCTGAGCGCATCCACTTTAGCAGGACTCGGTCTCACTCCGATAAAACTAATTTGCAGTCCCCAGAATTCAATTTCTGATGATCCAAAAATGCATTTAAGAAGTTATGCCGGCATTGGATATGGCTTTCATGACTTCTTCAATTGCTTTGTTATGTTCTACATCATTCTTTGTCGCTACGATTAGGTCGTCATGTATGAGGCGAACTTGCGGAATATTGGTAAATAAAGGTTGAAGGGCTACGTTCGCCTTACACTGGTTTCACTCCCATTGTAAAACACTTGCACCTCTACAGCTTGTCGTTTGCGTGGAATACTGTCAGATATCTTGAATCCGGATGAAGCTAGATTTGACAGAATGCAGACTTGAAATCCATCTTTGAGAATATTTTTTCCCCGCTAAGCTTTGCTTTAATAATTATTCTCTTGCCTTGGAATAGGTAAATTTGACGCCTGGATGGCCTTGTTAAGCGCATCCATGCGGATAGCCCCGTCTGGTTTTGGTGCAATTACCGCGTTAGAGACCCAATGTTCTGATTCTATAGCTGGATGTTCCTCGTTTACGTCTTGACTCACCATTTTATCGATATCTTTGCGACTCGTTCCTTAAGATGATAAGATGTTGGCCTTGCAGGATTGGCAACTGGCTTAACTGACGTGTATATCAACATGCAGTTTTACTTGATGATTTCTCAGCTTTCCTAGGCCAGTGAAATTCTGTGGAAACCGTTGTAAGATATCTTGAAGAGCAGACTGACCATTCGATTCTATCAGGCAAGGGCTGTTAATTATATGTCAGTCCATAGGAACTGTCGAGCTTCCGAAATTTACAGCATATTTTGCAAAACCTGCCACTGGTATTGCTGGGCGGTCGTACGGTTTGATCTTGACGTTTGTATTAACCATTTTCTGTACGAGATTTCATCGTTCGGCCTCTTTCTTTCCAAACACACAATAATGCTTTCTCCCGTGTCCGCAAGGTCGGCAAGGACAGTAGCGAGACTGTTATTAATGACCAACTCGACCTTGAAGTCGTCCTTATGATGTCTGGCATCGTGCTGTGGTTGATGTTGACTCTTTTCTGTAACTCTAAATATATAAAAATATATAAATATATATATATATATAAAAATATACATCGTCCTGTTGGGATTCCTCAAGATCTTCAGATTTCAGCTCTTTAATTACTTTCTTTTTCCTGCCTACTGACTCGTGGTACCCGGTTGCATTGCAGAAATTGCATTTGCTTGTCCTGGCCCTGCACTTCTTAACATGCTCTATTACAGACGCCTTTATCTCTTGCCCTCAGTAGTGGCATGAAAACTTTAGATTCCGTTATGCACTCCGGTTCCGGGTGTAATTCCTAATTTCCGGGCGAGAATTAGTACCCTCACATGGTGCCCGCACAGGCTCGGGGACTCTCGGGATTTTTGCGAATTAAATAAACATCAGGACTTGTTTATGATTCTTGAATATACATAATGCCTAAAATGACAAAATATTAATCTAAAAAATGTCAAAAAAATCAGGCAATTTGTTTCTCAGCGGTGAATATTCTACACAGGCCTAATAGCTTATATCGATCGCGTTTTGCAAGTCATTATTAATAAGTTTGAACTTACAAAGATTAAAACAAAAAGATTTTTAAATTCTTTTATTTCGGCGTGAATTAAAGAATTTTCTTAGATCCTCAATTTCGTAAAGAGCCACCAAAATGTAAGCGCAGATGGATTTATTGGAGTAGAGAGGCATAGAAAAACAAAAAAAAATATTTTTGTCTGCAATTAACAACAAGGTAAATTTTTTTTGTCTGCAATTAACAACAAGGTAAATTATTTTTGTCTGCAATTAACAACAAGCAAGCGCAAAGGAACTCTTTCTGTAAAGATCAACATCTCAGCAGCTGCATGATTGTTCTTTAATGCCAAATGAATCCTTTTGGCCGAAATTTGTGAGATGTAAACGATGAAAATCAAATGGGCATGATAAACAAATCAACACCCGTAATTTGGAAGAGACCCAAAAGGGAAACTTGGCGACCAAAGTACAATGAACAACATCCCCATCCTGATAACATCTTATAGCTAAATACCGATAACACTAATAGAAAATAAATGTTTTATCCGTGTCAACTGCGTGTGATCAACAGCTTCCAACGCGTGTCAGTATAGTCGACCCCGATACTCGTCCCAGACCTTAAGAATTCGAACTAAAATTCATCTTCTGGTTCAAAAACTCCCAAATTCTCTTACTACCTAAAACCGTCTGTTTTGTCAACGTTTATGTCATAACTGTTGTATCAACTATATAATAACTACTTTCTAACTGAGCGTGAGGTCTATACGGCAAAAAATGTCAAACCGAGGTCTTGTTGTATTGACCGAACGATGGCGACACCGTATAGACCAAACAGTCGAAGTTAGTAAGTTTTTTATTATATGGATAATTCATGCATATATTGAAATTTAAATACTTCTTAAGGCGGCTTGACGACATTGGCGAAGAAAAGGGAAAAGAGCTCTATTTTGTAAAATACAAACACAACATCATATTTAAAATTAATGAAGAACGATCTGAAGAAATCATAAAACTTCATGCTTTAACTGGCTTATAAAAAGATCCGTATTAAATGTGATTAAAGTCGGATGTAAAGTTTAAAATAGTTTAAAATTTCGGACATTCTAATGAACATAGTATTTCAGGTATGTTGATATATGTATCAAATTGCATAACTTTCCTTTTGTAAAAGTTATTTGTAAAATCATTAAACATTGTGAGGTACAAGTTTATGCAAAAACTTCTTGGTGAAATTCAATTAACAACAACAAAGATGAAAAGCAAAAGAATCCCGTGAAGGTGGGAGTTTTTGAAATACAGTATATAACTGTCAAAACTCTTTATCGCAAGTTTTAAATACTGGCAAACACATCAAATTATTGTTTTTTAATCGTTTCCAAACATTGTTTGAACTCACAGACTTCATGAATATTTTAACTCTCTTTAATTTGATTGATGAAACGTCTTCCTCCGTTTGAAATTCATATTTTATATAAAGGGCGAATAATTTAAATTTTCAGTTGGGAAAAAAGCGCGTTTCCCTACAAAAATAATAGAATTACCTAAATTTTTCCAGTGCCGATGTCATATGAAATAAGGGAAAATTCGAAATATATTTACAGAAATATAATGTTTTTAATTCTAGTTCCGAATTTTAACCAAAGTTCCTTCAGGTGATAGCTTAGTCTATCGCCTTTTTGAAACATAAACCTTTGTTGGTCTGGTGCTGTCTTCTTGGCTTCTAGTAGCCTAAAAACAGACCTTTCGTTCGTGAGGCTTTTTGCGGCTGAGGCTCTCAACATGAACACTAAGCGTACCTATTTTTTACCATTACGGAATTAGTTCCATTGACCGGCCTTTCGGCCCTTCGTGCCGACCAGAGACATCTGTGCCAGAGATCAAGCATAATATTATGGTTGCGTATTGCGTTATGTGGTACCCTATATTTTAACCGCAATATATGTAACAGTATACAACACTTCAACCCATGTTTTCTTCCAATTTTTTTTAAATATTGAAACTGTTTTCATAATTCTCGTCTCCGAAGTATAACATTCAGGAATAAACAAAGGTATTACTGTTAAAATTGTATTTAGATATCAAGGTATTTATCAGTGTAGGTGTTGTGTTATTATTTATAGTTCATTAGAAATTGCAAACGACGCAAAATTACTGTAGAGAACTGTAGTACTATTGTAGAATGTAGTGATATTTCATCTTTGAGTTTTCACCTGTCTCTAGATGTTCATTTGGGAATAAGACATGCCTTTTTTCACAATATTAACACTATTTTCTATTTTAGTTTCAAGAGGAATTTATTTGCCCAGCAAGCCAGCATTCCGAATTACGCCCCTGTTGTCAACTTGCTTCACAACAATATTTGAGCATATCAAGATATTTATTGCTGTAGGTATTTATTATAAGTTCATTAGAAGGATCATATTATCTTAACAACCTTGTCATTGGGGTCGTAACGAACTGCCATGGTCATATGAATATATGACTCCCCCAAAATATTGATTTTATCATAGGCAGCCCAAATATGCATGATAATTTGAAAGTTTATTCAGAATAAAAGGGTTTACAAATCTATTTCTCCAGCTTAGATAAGTGGAAGCTATTGTACATAGCATAAATTTACCTATTTGTATTAACATAGTGCTTATACCAGTCTAGGGTACATCCATGCAATTGCCATGCTGAAGCTAGGTTTAGAAATGTATTATGTTTTTATGTGAAGATGTTTGAATTTTTTGGCAATCATCAAATATAATTATGTATTGATAAGGTCTGGTGAAATTAAGCAAGATGAATGAGAGTGTTACACCTAGATTGCTTGTTTAAATTTTTGGTGACTATTTTAACCATTGACAATGGAATGATTTGTTTTATTACACACCAACATCTTAGCGATTATATGCCAACACATGCATACTGCATGAGGTGTATAAAATAATTTCTCAGGCTAAAACATAATTCTGATAAATTAAAACATTTATCCTGAAGTTGTGGAAGCCAACTTCTAAGGATTTTCATCATCCCTAGGGTCACCAAAGTGCTGCATGGCAACTGCAGCTAGGGCACCTGCACAACTGCAATCATAGTCAGAATTTTTAAAATATATTGGCTAGACCACAGTGGCGATAAAATGTTAAACTATTCATATTTAAAACTTGACAGATTTTCTTACCTTTTTCCTTAAGAATCTGGATTCATTTTCACTGTGTGTGTTAACGATGTTCCAAATTGAATGATGTCTTTGCTCTGCTATTGAATGGGAAGGTAAAGGATTGTGGTTTATTACACATTTTGTATCTCCAGTTTCTGCATTCATTTACTAATGACTACAGTTATCAGCAGATGTGCATATATAAATATCCTTATTATATTATAATATGCTCATTTTATGACGTGGGAAAGTGAACACTACTGTATAATCCCAAAAATGGGAGATCACTAACCACTAAGAGCTTAATATTTATATTGGGGAAGTGCTGAGATTTGAGATAGATGACCAAAATTTTAAGGTATTGTAACATGTAAAGTTGACTAACAGAAACTATTTTCATGTGGATATCACCACATTGTCATGACAATTATGGCGAGATCTTTCCTATAGTGATACATGAGTGTTAACTGAGAATGAAAGAACTGTTTCCGGTTAAACTAGATAGATAGATAGATAGATAGATAGATAGATAGATAGATAGATAGATAGATAGATAGATAGATAGATAGATAGATAGATAGATAGATAGATAGATAGATAGATAGATAGATAGATAGATCCTTTAATTAAAAGGGCAGGTTGCAGCGAAAAGGCTGAATTGCGAACGCTAATTTACATTATTAATGGTTGATTAAAAAACAAAACTATTTTTATATTTATATGTATGGAACTACAAAACTACAAAGAGGTTAAAAAACAATTAAGCATGCAATAAAATGCTTGGAGGTGAGGGGAAAAAACTGTTTCTAAATCTGTTTAATTTAATCTGCAGAACAACAAAGTTTCTAGAGAGTCTCAGATTATAGTATGGGAAGTGTCTAGATGGTATAACATAAATGGTTTCCACTGCTTCTGTAGTAAATTCTTTAAATAGTTTTTCGCATGCTTTCACGCGCCTGTCACTTAATGACTTGATGCCACATTTTTCTAAGGCTAAGCAACCCGCATAGCAATTAAGTGGATAGATCGGTCCCAATATGGTTCTCTGGGGGACACCAGAAGGAACATGTAAACATTCGGACAAACAATCTCTTGCTAATTTCACTCGTTGTCTGTCAGTGATAAAGACAATAAAACCAACGTTTGATGAAACTTTCGTTGCTAAAATCGCGTTACCAGTTCCGTGACTAAATGACATATCTTGCTATTTGCTAATTACATAATTTACACACTCTTTCTCTGTAAATGTATTGCTTTCAGTCCAGCTTTTGATAAAGTCAACAACCAACTGTCTGTATGTATGGTTCATGTACAGTACAAGTATGTAGTACATGTAGTACTGTACTCCCCCTGATCTATGTGCGATGTGCGTACCCTCCGAACATTTTTGTATTTTTATTACTTTTAACTTTTTTAAAAAAACATGATAGGGCGATACAGAAAATTTTAACTGAATAATTTTGACGACCCGTCACAAGAAATTGGCGAGTTATTAAACTTAAAGTAGCAGGACTTTCAGTCGAGCAGTTTAATAGTATAAACAAATGTGTGTGTCCACAGTTAATACAATATACATGGTTTGGAGACCATATAATACTACAATACAACTCATTAACTATGTTGAGGCACATTTATGTAAAAAATTGTTCCTTTCGCATCTCATGTCTATTGTATTTTGCACAGATAAACCAATAGCAATCTTATAATTAACATATTTTTCAAGTCAAGGTTGATGAACTTAGCAAGACGAATGCCATTGGTACGTTTGGCTAAAATACAATAGACACGTGACGAGAAAGGAACCATTTTTTGCATAAACGTGGACAATAACATAGTTAATGAGTTGTATTGTACTTTCATTTAGTCTCCAAACCATTTATATTCTATTAACTGTGGTGTGTCAAAATTATGAATAGACAATGTATACGTATACGATGCTGATGTGGTGTATACGTTAACATATCGCGAGCATTTTTTTTCTATACGTTTGAGGTATATAGTAGCTAGGTTAAAGTGAAGTTCGGAAACGGATTGAGAATTCTCCTGTGGTACACACACGTATAAAAAAATCCCGCTTAAGTGGAAAGTAACCTTTATTCGAAAATCTAATTATCAAACACAGAGATAGGAACTTAAAAAATTTCAATTCAATTATAAACTACCGCTAACCAGAACCGAAGTCCTGTATGACCATGTCTTTGTGCACGACGCGGTATTTATAATATAATCTGTTTTTACCGAAATGATTATTCGGTAAAGAAGGTATGCAAACAGTTATGTCCCGTAAGGCACTCGAGATGCTGAAAATACACTTGAAAAAAAATTGTTGTAAACACTATAAAGCACTTGGACCACTCCACTATACACTTCATATGTGGGCGCGCGTATATTTATACACATAACTATACTTGCCAGAGAATGACGCCTGCATGATATCATTTAATCGTGATACGACGCTGATGTGTGGTACACGTTGACATTTTGCATGAACCGGGTACAGTTTTATGCAATAAGCCGATGAACGCATTCTCATAACTGCTTATGAGCACATGCTCATCTGCTCATAAAACTGTTTTATACTGTTCGATAACAAAACACTCCCACATTCCCGCTGAATGAGATATTTCAGGACCATTGGAAATTTTTGTTGATAAAATGAAAATTAATGTATGAACTAGCATGAGGAAGAAGAAAATTTCAGACATGGATGATTTAAACATTTATTATTTGTCTTGCAATTGTCTGGCAATTAGTTACATGCAGCAATAAAAAATAATTACTCCGGCGTCAGCGACGGAGTTGAAAATTCGCCTCGGTTTTGTTTTGTTTTGTTTTTTTTATTATTTTTCGTCGTCGCAAGTCTGTAATGGCGCGAAACATTCTAGTATTTAAAATGTGTATGTGATTGGATTTATCTATGTCCCAGTCTTGTCTCCCAAGAGTTGTGGTGCACAGCTTTGGCTAATTTTCCGATGCGCGATTCGATTTCGCTCGCATGATACGGCAATTCCTCCAAGAGGAACAAATAAACCGTTCTTTTCATGCTTTTCGATTAAGTTTAGACTGAATTGGGGTAAGAATATATTTAATACGTGTAGATTCTGGTCCTATTTAGTAATATCGCTGCTATTTCGCCGTTTAACAAGATGATGTGGTCGTGTATGGGCGCTTTGACTCGTCGTAGTTTGCACAGGATTGAAGATTTAATATAACTATATAAGCGCGAATTCCAAAGGCAAAGTGTAAGACAAAGCGAATGTATCATACCGTTTATTTACATTCTTGAACGATTTAACTTCTATACTTTTTAAAGTACAATGTGCTTCTGAATTTCGCGATCGAACATTTAGGTTCGCAAGGCATCTAAATGCGAATATGAACTGTATTGTTTATGTTCAGAAGCTCTATATTGAAGACTGGCACGTGCGCCGGAGTTAACGCCAGAACAGGCGTCTTGTTACTTCTAAATCGTTATCGCTTTTTGCTCGTTTGCCATGGTTTCCTTAAGAAAGGTTTAGTAAACCATTTGGCTAAGTTTAAGTTCTAATCTTCATCATCCTCATCATCATCATCATCATCATCATCATCATCATCATCATCATCATCATCATCATCATCATCATCATCATCATCATCATCATCATCATCATCATCATCATCATCATCATCATCATCATCATCATCATCATCATCATCATCATCACTGCCTTTATTTTCCTTCACATCTTCAATCTCGTGGTCATTTAGAAGCCTTTTTTTAAGAAACTTTCTCTTATCAACTGCAGTCAACTGGGTCAAAATCATCATTTTGGATAAACGCATCTTTTGTATGCATTATTTTCTTATGCACTGGGTCTTTCTTTATTTGTCTCATTCACAAAAGGCGCTCTAAATAAATATTTCTAATTCTTTCTGGAGTCTAGGCATAACATTCAAGTTAGCTCTATCTTTAGCAGTGTGCTTATCGAAACCAATGCTGATAAGCCTTTCTTCCATTTCTTCAAAAGCTGTGTTACTTCTTTGTTTTGCTTCTTCTATTAACGGTATCCAGGGATCCATTTCTTCTTCAGATTCTGATTCAGTCGCCGTCGAATTTCCAGATTGCTGAGTGGAAGTTGTTGAGACATCATCTTGGAAATCTCTTTCTTGACTGTCCATGTCTGTTTGAGACATGTTTCTTTCTTGTTCTCGTAGTGGACAGTATTCCTGTTCGTGTCTGCGCTGATTGTAACCGCGGCTAAAGTATCTTCCGCAAAATTAGCAGCTCATTCCCTTACCACTGGAGGTGTGGGAATGCCTTGTTATCGAACAGTAATGCAGTTTTATGATCAAATGAGCATCTACTCATGAGCAGTTTATATGAGCATGTGCTCATCTGCTCATCGCATGAAACTGTACCCGGCTCATTGAGATTTTTTAGACCAAAACTCCTATAGTTAATTTTGTTCAATTTAGAAAGTAACGCATGTCGGTAACAATTTTTAAGCAGACGTGTAGTGCTCATAACTACGATGAGCAGATAAGAATGTGCTCATAACTGCTCGTGCATGAGCAACTGCTCATCGGCCCATCGCAAAATTGATACTCGATTTTTGAATAGATTGATATTGATTCAGTGTCCTTTTCAAGCTTTGCTATAGTGCTCGAGCTAAACACATTTTGTCAGTGTTATTAATACGTATATAATTGATTTCATGTCGTTTCTTTCCGGTGCCTCCGTTGGGCATCTCAACGTTTCATAATATTAACATTTACTGAATCATTTAATCTGAATTCTCGATTAGATTGAATAACTCGTTCAATTTCTGCGAATTAAAACACGCTCAGATGTTAAGCCTGTTCTCCACTAGGCGAATGTATTCGCGCGAACAGATCAAAAGTAGGAAGCGATTCTACTTTTTTGCGGCGAATTTTTTCGCAAACCAATCACATCACCGGATCTCAGATATCGCTTCGCATCGCGCGAATACATTCGCCAAGTGAAAAACGGGCTTTAATCTCTCACTATAGACATAAAGTGTAAAGATACTGGATATTCTGGAAAAGGACGAGCAATTACAGTATGTACCTATTTTGATAAGGCTCAGGCACAAATATGCGAAGCAAGGGTCACGCATGCGCAAGCTTTTACCTGTCGTCTACTTGTGTTCCACCCCATCCCCACACGGGATAAACCTAACGAAAGAATCACTTGACCAGCCTTGACCAGGGTCTTTGCCGCAGCGTGGGCCGTGGAGCGTTGGTAAAAGAGCCTGGCTTGTGAGGTTTGTTTTACAGCGCTCTGGCTGAGCCCACGTCATCCCGGCGGCCTTCACTTCTGCGTCTATGCTTCTTCGCCAGGTCTGCTTTGGTCTGTCTACCTTTTAGTAGACGACGAGCATTGCTTGAAAACATTTCGGGCGTATAAAAATCGAGCAATTCATTGAGAATCTACGCAATTTATTAACTTATGTTATTAATTAGGAGCATTCATTGCAACACAAATATAATTTTGAAGGTGTATTCCATAAATAGATCTAAGTGGTTAGAAAGAAACGACGCTGTGTTGTTTATGTATTGATAGATCCCTAACACGAATATATATTATGTCGATAGCAAGTCGATACCTGATATTCCGCATACAGTACATAAATTATATTATTATGCCTTACTAATGCAATCTCGATTGTGATTGGCTAAAAACCTACAGATAATTCTCAATGTCTTGCCACCTACACGACATTGAAAATTATCCGTAGGTGACGTAATTTTTTGCCGCTAGTTAGTTGTCAATAATGGCGCAGGCTTCGCCTCTAAAAAGGAAATACATAATAAAACAATTATTGAATTCGGTTTTCGCATGATATCGAGAATTATCAAGCCTCAGTTTGCGTTATCCACCTCAGCTTCGCTTCGGCGAATAATGCAAACTTCGGTTTGATAATTCTCGATATCACACTCAACCTCATCCAATAATTGTTAACTATACAAAACGGACATTTCGTGCAGTAATCAAATCATTTTGGCGGTATACAGTATTGTAAAGTAAAAAGCAAATTCTGAATAAACATCTTGAGAATCAAAATATAATTCAAACAAGACACAGATTGAGACTGTAAATTTTCGACTTTATTACAAAGTATTCTATCTGAAGATGACTTTGTAATAAAGTCGAAAATTTACAGTCTCAATCTGTGTCTTGTTTGAATTATATTTTGATTCTCAATATGTATTGTTTATTCGGAATTTGCTTTTTCATGGTTTTTCATGGTCATGGTTTTTGGTCTACACTATTGATTATAAGTGTATTGTTTTTTATAGATTTACGCGTCGAAGTATCCACATCATAGACATAATATGCACCGCGGTCGGTTTATTTACATTATTTACAACGCAACTATTTTAGCTATTCTTATGAAATGACGGATATATTGTTGCCATCATTGAATGTAGTCACAGCTGTTTGACGATGAGAAAATAGACTAAACTGACTAACTGAGAAAATCGCGCCCGGTTTACATAGGCAACTAGAATTATAATTTAATAGTGACAATATCCGCGACTATAACGTAACTTGAGTACTTTGAGCTAGTTCATTATATTTTTACTGGCATAAATCAAAATGTTTATGTTGGGACAAACGTCAGGTTGCTTAGGTATTACAGGGCATAGCCTTTGCACTATCCTTGGATCCCCATAGTCTTTTCCCCTGTTTGAGTCAGTTCCCGGTTTGAGTCTAGGGCCTGTTTTGTGCTGTTGGAATTTAGTTTTTCGTAGAGTTTCACATATCCATCCCCATTTTCTCTTCTTGATGTCAACGTCAATGGGGCTTTGTCCCGTTCTTTCCCATAGTTTTCTGTTGGAGATGACATCTGGCCAGCAAACATTGAGAATGGTTTTGAGACATCTGTTGATGAAAGTTTGTATAGTTTGTGGGTGCTGGTCTTTGTTGTCCTCCATGTTTCTGAACCATACAACAGCATTCACATTTGTGTTGAAGATTCTGAGTTTGTTGCGGGGTGAAAGGGCTGAGGAGCTCCAGATGAGGCGCGTAGGGAGTTGTTTAGCAACACAAGCACAAGCTGTTTAATGCCATTATAATAGAAAAACATGTCTTTTTCTGCCAGTATTTAGCGATAAAAACCAGTCGCTTAGCTTGAAACAATAATTGCATTGGGGGAGTATGTTCATATATGTTTGTTGTTCCACTTACCCTAAAAACAATAGCCTTGAAATGGAATCAGTGTAGCATAAGACGATCGTATATAAGAATACACTTCGAATTAAAAACTTCTACCAACGCCTCTAAAATCTAATCAAAGCGAGCTGTTTTTGACGAATCGCAATTACTCCATGCGCGTCTGATCTTTATAGATCGCGTCACAAACTGTACTAATTACACGTATTGGGAGCCATATATATATATGTATATATATATATATATATATATATATATATTATATATATTATATATATATATATATATATTATATATATATTATATATATATATAAGTATAATCTTGTTGTTCGAAAAGACAAAAGAGTGCTCAATACTATAAGATGTTATAGTAGAGCGAATTAAGTAGATGAAATTAAGTCATTAATTTCATCATTAATTATTTAATTTTTTGTCGACGGGCAAATTAAGGAATATATTGGAATGACTGCAAATTCGTTCAAAGAAAGATTCCGTAACCACAAGAAGTCGATTAACAACGAGAAGTATGAAAAGGAGACGGAGCTCTCAAAGTATATCTGGGGATTGAAAAGAGACAGTACGGAGTTCGAGTTGAAGTGGTCAATTCTGCGTCATGCTTATCCTCACAAACCTGGTGGAAAGCGTTGTAATCTCTGCATTGAAGAAAAACTTTGCCTAATGAAAGCTGATGAGCATATACTTTTAAACAAAAGATCAGAACTATATGCTAAATGCCGCCATCGCGATAAATTTTATGCTGGAAATTTCAAACGCACGCGCAAACATTAACAGTGCGCGTGAGCCGACCGTTAATCACGCAATCCAACGAACTGAATTTAATCGCCTGAAGATCGAGATAATCGTGAAACTCAGAGTAGCGATAGCTAAATAAATTCATTTTAAGACTTAATTTCATCTACTTAATTCGCTCTACTATAACATCTTATAGTATTGAGCACTCTTTTGTCTTTTCGAACAACAAGATTATACTTATTTACTCCGCACCTGGATTCCAGTTGTGCACTCTACAAGTTCGTGTATAAAGCAATCATCTTAAAATGCACAGAGTTCAGTTCAACTATTCTATGAAAACCATTGGTGTCCCAACAAAAGATCAATATCGAAGATGCCTAATTGAAAAAACCGAAAGTGTCGTACACCGAATGAGATGGAAAGCATACTTTTATCTTTATGGAAACAGCACGGATAATGAAGGAAAGTTTGGATTACCATCTAATAAATGCGGCCCGCAAGTAAAAGAAATGAAGGAATTTGAGGACGATCTTATTGGGTTAGTGTCGAATATCAGGTTCCGGAATGTGAATGAACCATTTCTCAATCGAGTTAATGATGATATTAAGAAAGTTAATTCGTCCAACAACGTATTTTTATTCGCTGACAAGACAACAAACGTTTATGAAACAGACCCAGAAACCTATAAGAAACTGTTGACCGAAAATGTTACGAAATCGTACAAAATCGATTGTTCTAACGAAGCAGACAGTATTAATGAAGAACTTAGAGATATTACTAATGATCTGTCCATCGGAAACCGCATCGATACCATGGCTGAACACGACGCCTTTATCACAATTAAAGATCACAAACCAAACTTTCCATCCAGCATGAAATGCCGACTTATAAGTCCATCTAAAAGTGAACTAGGAAAAATTA